TTACCTGGTATGCTACAGTGCCGGCCCCTCAATTTTTTTTTTTTTTTGCTAAATTGGCCTTTATAAGGAAGATAAATTTTGTTGTTAAAGCTTATTCTCTCAGATTATTGTTTAACCCAAGCATAGTATTTTTGTTTTTCTTTTAATATGTTATCTCTTGTCTCTCTGGAAATTTTTTCTAAACTTTTGAGTCTAACCTTCCAGAAAATTAATTAATTAATTAATTAACAGAATTATTTTATTACAAGAGTTAGCCATCATATTAAACTATAAGGGTTTGCATTACGTATTCAAATCCTTACAAATGGGGAAGAGTATTCAAAGACATTTGTTTAGTTCCCTTTAGAGAAGAGCTTTAGCTCCTAGCTAGCGTTCTCCTAGTTGGTATTTTTGCTGTCTTCAGCACTAGTTCCTGCTTCCAATCATTGAACATAAACACATTGAGCCCCTCCTATGGCCAAGCACTACTCTCTGTGCTGCAGTCAGTGGAGGTGACAGCAACAACTTGACCTTCAGACAGCTTATCTGAAAGGAGAGACAGACAGTGCCACACAGGCACGTTCATGATCAGCTGCAGATGGTGGTACCTTTTACAACTGAAAGCAGCAGCATAATAGGTGAGAGAGAGTGAATGGAGAGAGGCTTCTTTTGTTGTGGTGGTAAAGGAAGCTGCCATGGGGAGGGCCCAACCGAGAGGATTTCCCAACCAGGAGAGGACAGCAGCACTGAGTTTATGGGGAAGGCCTGATCTTAGCATGACCCAGGAGTTCAGGGGGAACAACGAGTGAGGGGTGAGTGAGATGGGCAGGGCCCTGCTGAGAATCTCTGCGGCCATAGGAGATTGTATTCTTCCATAATGGCCTTGGGAAACCGACACAAGGCCCTGGAGGATGCAGTGTGGCGATGAGATGGAGGGAGAGGCCAAGGCAGTGACCAGGAACTGAGAACGCTCTGGAGCAACCCAGGCAAGACGTGTAGCACTGGCCAAGCTTGTCTGAAAACTTGAGATAAAGAGGCTTAATGCTTTCTATACTTTAGAAATTTCCACTAAAACACACTGTAGTGAGAGCCAGCAAAAAAACACCACATTGCTTCCTTTCAAATGAATAAGTACGTTTTTTCTAAAGCACATCACTCCTTGTCACCATTTAATAACAGAATATTAGAATTGGAGTGAATCACAGGTAACAGAGTCTTATTATCTGCTTTTGCTCTCACACGAACATGTTGGAATAAGTAAAGCATGTTATGCTAGGAGTAGCCAAGGTGACTATTAGTGCTTCTTGCTGTAATTATAGTACAGCCACGACTCTGTCGAAAGAGAAGATCATATTTTAGGTTACCAGAATAATTAGAATGAATAATATTTCACTACAATTTTTTCCCTTTAAGAAATAATTCTCTGAGCAGTCAGAACTTCTAAAATGGCACTTGGCTAACCAAAACTATGTTTTTACTGCAATTTTGTATTTTAGAGATTAACCTGAAATACAATTACCTTTTCAAAATATCAATATCGAATTATCCGAATTTCTGGATTTTCTTAATGAAGCCAATGAAAACAAGATCCATTAGAAAAATGGTATGAAATACATCTTACATAGATGATCGCTGACCTACTATGGTTTGACAGAATTCTTCTATTTTACAGAGTGAGAACACAGTACAGATTCAGTAGAAACCATATTTCAAATCTCAGGTTTTGATCATTGCCCAGAGCAGCTCTGTGACGTGCAGTCCTCTGTCGTGGCACAGGGCAGTGGGATCCAGTCAGCCCCAGGATCCCAAGCAGAAGCAACCAAGATGCTACATTGTGTTGCGTTGCTCAGCTCCCGCCGTCAGCCGTCAGGAGGGCAGGTGAATTGAATGCATTTCTGACCTCCCGTATTTTCTAAGAACAATGGGTTCATTTGAGGTGTGAGCCATTGTACATTGAGGAGCATGTGTTTATGGAAAAGCCATAACTGAATACAGAATTCAGTAGAGGATTAATATGAAAGTGTGTTTTCATTTATAATGATGATTTAAAGCAGTAAGTTTCTAGATACTTTATTTTAGAAAGACATTATAATCTTCGTCTACTAACAATGCTGGAAACTATGTTAAAAGTAGAAGAAATGATTTATTCAACATTGATTGGCACTTAGAGGTACCAGGCATTGAGGATATAGTCCTGATCCAAGGAGAAAAATAGATATTCTACTTGTATGCAATTTTCATTCTAAAGCAGGAGACAGACAATAAAAAGTAATTAACTAGGAGACATAAGTCTCCTAGCCTCCTGGTCTCCTGGCCGCATGGTTAGACACCAGCTAGAAGCCTGTGTCCCACATCAGGATACCTAAGTTCAATTCCTAGCTCTAGGTCCAGGCTTGAGCATCCCGCTAGTATGTACCCTGGGAGGCAGTGATGATACTCAAGTAGTTGGATCCCTGTCTTTGACATGGAAGTCCTGGGTTGAATTCCTGGTTCCCAGCTTTGGCATGGCCCAGCCTCAGTGGTTGTAGGTATCGGAGAGTGAACCAGCAAATGGAAGCATTCTCTCTCCCTCTCTCCCTCTCTCCCTCTCTCTCTTTCTGGCTTCCTCTCAAATAAATGAATATATACATTTTTAAAAAGTAGTTAATCAGTAAAATGTCAGGTGATGATAAATACTATAGAGGAGGAAAAGTATGGAAAAAGTGAAGAGTGTGGTGGAAGAAACTGTTGTTTTATATGCAAAGGTGCTAACCACTCAAAACAGCATCCCCACTAGGTTAGGTAGGGGGAAAGGCAAGGACAGAGACCATGAGGTGCCAGCATGCTTGATTTATGAGAGCAAAGCAAGGACCAGCTGGATTCGAAAGGCAGGTGTGAGGTGGGACTCAAGGCACAGAAGTGGACAAGGACAAAATCACTGAGGCCTCCTGGCCTTTAATGTGACTTAGGAAGCCACTGGAAAGTCCCAAGTTAGGGCCAGCGTTGTGGCATAGCAGGTTAAGCCACTACCTGAAATGCTGCTGTCCCATATGGGTGACGGCTTGAGTCTCAGCTTCTCCACTTCTGATCCAGCTTCCTGCTGGTGTGCTGGGGAAAGCAACAGAAGAAACCGGAAGTGCCTGGGCCCCCTGCACCCACTTGGGAGACCTGGAGAAGTTCTGGCTCCTGGCTTCAGCCTGGCCCTTCCCTTGCTGTTGTGGCCATTTGGGGAGTAAAGCAACAGATGGAAGCTATCCCTCTCTCTCTCTTTCTCTCTCTCTCTCTCTCTCTCTCTCTAACTCTGACATTCAAATAAAATAAATAAATCCTTAATAAAAGGAAGAAGGAAAAAAAGAAAGCCCCAAGGAGAGGAACGATACGTAGGATTAATGTATGTTTTCAGTGTATCACTCTAGCTGTTCTTTTGATAATAGACTATGCACATGTGTGTGTGGTGCACACATATGTTTGTGTGTGTGTGTTTGTGTGCACTGGAGGGTAGAGAGGTTCAGTGGTGAAAGCAGTGAGTGCTGCCAGAAGACTTTAGCAAAAATGAGCCAAGATGGATGATGTAGAACTGGCTAAATTTTAAAAAGTGTTAGATCTCACACTTTGAAGACAGAGTCAACAAATTGACCACCAGGTTGAATGCAGCTTATGAAAGTAAGAAGCCAGGGTCTGAGCCACTAGGAAAATGAAGTTTCCCATGGGGGTGGGAAGAGAACTGTGAGAGGTGCAGGTTTGGGGATTGGGTAAGAATGGGAGCTTGGTGTTTCATCCAGGAGGTTTGAGGCAGTAATTAGACATTCAAGAGCCAGCAGAATAGATGAATTTAGTAGCCAAAAAAGAGGTTATGGCTGGAAATATAAATGTGGGGGGCATAAACTTTCAATATTATAGACTGTTAAATTAGAGACCATTTAGGATTAGAACTATTTCAAGCTTTTTGTACATGAACTCCTTTGAAAGCTTGCTAAAATTCCCAGACTCCTCTGAATACCATTTTAAATACATAAAATAGGATTTCCAAGTATATTTTGTTGTACTACAGTTGATATAAATAAAACCAATTATAATGAAATGTCTCATCAAAACATTAGAAAAACTACACTGTTGTAAAATATACACTTTTTATGAAGACATTAAATAGTGAGATCTAGCATGTACGTAATAGTAAAATGACTTCAAAGAAGTCATGTGATACATATTCCAAGATATCTGTACTAAGTGTAAAGAGTTGAAATTCTTTATAAGTTTTCAGCCACAGCTACAGTCACAAACACAGCTGATGTTCCCATGGTCCGATGGTCCATGCTGATAACTGCAATAAATACTCAATTTCATTCAGAGGACTCTGAAGGTAAGTGCAGAGATTGGTGCACCACAGGCTTAGGTCCTTGATTTATGGGGGAAGTTAGCCAGAGAAGACGGGCCAAGGAGTCTCCAAAATTAAGAGGCAAGGAGAAAATGAGAAGCAGCCAAGAAACAGAGAGGAGAGCAAAGAGACAAGTCAGGCAGAAGGAGACTGAGAGATGGCAGCAAGGGCTCTAACAGCTAAACACAACAGGAGATGTGAACTCAGGACACCTGTGCACAGATGGGGACAAAACTTGGCCAGAGCGTGAATCTAGAGGGAATGGGGGAATGAAAGGTGAATTCTAGGAATTGTGTCTAAGGAATTTTGCCAGATCATGAGTTTTTTAAATGACCTAGTAAGTAGAGAGAGATCTGGGGAAGCTTTCTGTTGTTTTATGATAGGAGATGTTCCAACATGTTTACACACTACAGAAATTGTTCCAGAAGATCGGGCAAGTTGATAATTCAAGAGAAAGAGAAGACCACCGAAATCATGAACAGGCAAGAGGCGATGGCACCTAGTGCACAGGTGCAATACTTGACCTCAGGCAGAGCCTGGACTGTTCACGAAGGAAGGAGGCCTTCAAAAGTAGGCAGGCAGGCAGCTAGATGCATGTAGAGCCAAGTCGGTGTGAAAACATGGTGGGAGAATGAGGGAATTCTCTGCTGTCGCTTTGTTTTCTCAGTGAACACCAGCTGAGAGAGAAGGTGTAACATAGTGATCCAGTGCTGCAGGTGGGTGAACGGGCTGCAGAGACAGAGCTGTCGGGACCCACCCAGGTTAGTGGTCATGAATTAAAATGTGTCCCCAGGATGGGCATTTGGCACAGCTGTGAAGACCCTTCTGGAACGCCCACATCCCACACTGGAGTGTCTGGATTCAAGTCCTGCCTCTCTTCCAGATTCCAGCTGCCAACTCCTGTGTACAGTGGGAGGCTCAAGCGCTGAGGTCCCCGCCACCCGCATGGGAGACCTACATGGAGTTTTGAGCTCCTGGCTTGCACCTGGCCCAGCTCCAACTGTTGTGGGCATTTGGAGAGTCAATCAGTGAGTGGAAGATCTGTCTCTGACCATCTGATCTATGTCTCTCTCTCTTTGTCTCTCTCTCTGCACCTTTCAAATAAATAACAGAAAAATTAATTAAGACCCCATCAGTGTGGTCACGTTTTTCTTAACCATGTGTCATGGGTGCAGGTCACATGGCACGTGACCTAGCTTCAACCAAAGTTAACAGTGTATCCATCACCACAAGGCGTGGAGCAAAAGACGATGAGATGTGTCTGCTCAGTGTAGCTTTGTCTCTAAACCAGCAGCATCCCAGGAGCACTGGAGTTCAGTGGCAGTGCCTGGGACCCACAGGAGTCTGTGCATCACGGGCACCTGTGGCTGATGCTGCCAGGGCTGGTTGTGAACAGAGAAATGTCAGTCAGAACGGGGAGCTGCACAGGCCCACATGCTGTGGCCTGCCCTGACCCCGCAGCAGACAGCAGTGCACACCAGCAGGAACACATCCCATACCATCCGACAGCCTTGTGTGCTCCTGCAAGATCTTGAACGTGTTCATGAAGTTGCTGAATCGCAGTCGCTCTATTTCTCCATCAGCAGACTAAATCCGTGTGAAAATTAAAAGGCGAAAGTAGACATGATCAAGAAACTTGTTCCTGCTTGAATATCCTCAGACCCACTCCTGCGTTCGGCAGATGGCCTCAAAGTACACGGCCTCTCGCCTTATCTGGGCTTTTATTTACATATCCGTGTCAATGTTGTTTTAGAATTCCGGTTTCCTGATAAGGAGTTATGTTTGTATTTAGAAAAACCCAGTGCCTCCTACAGTATCCTGCATCCAGAGGACATTAATCACTAACGTTTTCAATTTTATATAAAATAAATTTCTTTATAAAATACCTTCGCCTCAATCCCTGGATGGTATTTTATTAATTAACAGTTCTAATGCATCCATAAAATAGCTGCTTTATCCACTGGGGCAAATATCAAGTCACATATATCATTTAAACAATGAAAGTCACCGTTTATTAGATAAACTCAAAGGCATTAGCTGGTTTGTTTAAGTGATAATATAGATACATTGTATCCCCCATGCAATACTCACCCAAGTCAGAATGAAAGATGGAAGGGTAGACCATGAAATTGGGAAGTAGAAGTGTAGTGCTGAAGAGCAGTACTTCCCTTCTGATCCAGCTCTCTACAGATGTGCCTGGGAAAGCAGCAGAAGATGGCCCAGGAACCTGGGCCCCTGTTACCCATGTGGAAGATCCACATGGAGTTCCAGGCTCCTGGCTTCCATCTGAGCCAGCCCAAGCCATTGTGTCCATTCAGGGAGCAAACTAGCTGATGGAAGATATCTCTCTGTGTGTCTCTGTCTCTCTCTTTACTCTGCCTTTCAAATAAATCTTTTTTAAAAATTAAATTTAATAAAAATCAGAATTCATAGTCAAAAACGTTGAATAGGACAGTCATTTTACACCCATGGAAAGTAGCATTCTCCCTGCCATTGGCACTCCTTGAGAAGTCACATAATTGCCTAGATATGTGCCTCGTGGATCGCTAACCTCTAATTGAACCTCTGGGTTTTGTCAGTCCCCATTCTCCCAAATGATGGTGTTTCTCCAAAGATGGTATTTCCTATTTCTCACCACTCTCAAACACGCCATTCTTCAGAGATGATCTCATTTCGAGCTCCAGCAATAACTCATCGGCAGTCCCTTGGGCCAACACTGTCCTCTCCCCCTTTTGCCTGCCTTGATCACACCCTGAGAAGAGAAGACCCATAGGAAAGCAGTGATGCAGTGTTGGCCCTAGCTACTTTAAATTTCTTGTCCTGTGAGAAAAATGAACCCTTGCTTGGGTGAGGTACTGTTGGTAGCTGGGTTTCTGCTACTTAGAGTTGACAGCACTCCTAACTGCTGCTGACCCCACGCTCTGCTTCCATTCACAACTGGAGAGAGGTCCCTTATACAGAACTGTGTAACCCTGATCTTCCTCCTGCTCCTCCTCTCAGAGGTCTCTCTCGAGGGATTACAACCGCTCTCTCCACAGTATCTTCAGTCTTTCAGGAAGTAGTAGGCAGTTCGCACCATCAGTGTTTAAATACACGCAGGTCTCTCTCACACTAAAGTAAAAATAATACTGTCCCTCCACCTCCCATTTGTCTCCAGCTGCTCCCTTATCTCTTCCCTCTCACTGACATTGTGTTCACAAGAGCCGCCTGCATTCACCATCTCCAGCTTCTTATTTCCTATCCATTCCACGACCCCGTTGCATCTGGATTTAGCCTTGACCATTGCCTGAACGTGCCTTGGCCAAGGTCACCAGCAACATCCTTATTGCAAATGCAATGAGAAGTTTTCAATTCTTATCTTATTTGACTTCTTTGTAGCATTTGACAACCGTGACCACTCAATCCTTTTTGAACTACTTTCTTTTCTTGAATTTTTAAAAACCATTTTTGGTTTCTCCTCTCCTCTTTAGCAGATACATCTAAGTCAACCTTGAAGTAACCTCTTCTTTTGCAAGTCTTTTGAGTGTTGGCATGATATTAGGAGCTTTGTATTGAAGTCTTTGACTACAGTTGCTCCATACTGGGCATAATTTTTTTGGAATTTTACAATTTATTTTTCATTTTATTTGAAAGGCAGAGAGAGAGAGATCTTCATTCCACTGGTTTGTTCTCCCCACAACAGTTGGGACTGGGCCAGGCAGAAGCCAGGAGTCCAGAACTCCCACAGGGGTGACAGGGACCTAAGTACTTGCACCATCACCTGCTGTTTCCTAGGGTATGTGTTAATAAGAAGCTGGAACTGGAAGCAGAGCTGAGACTTGAACCCAGGCCCTCCAGCATGCAATGTGAACATCCGAACACCTGCCCTGTTACTGTATGTCGGCAGGCTCCCCAGCCTGTTTCTTCTCCCATGTTGTCTCTCTCCATGTCCACCCTTGTGGTCCGCAATGTCAAAGTGACCCTTGATGCTCCTCTCTCTCTTGGTTCTCCAATCTATTTAATCAGCAAGCCCTGTAAATTCTTTCTGCAAAAATGTCTCTCAAATCTGCCCCTTCACCTAGTTTCACCAATCTTAGCCTAGATGGACCCCCCTCTGCCATCAGTTCCCTGATACTTCTCCTTCTGTGGCCCCGTCTCTCTGCTGCAGCTAAAGGGAACTTCTATTAGGTTCTCCAAAGCTGCCAACTTCTCTCTCACCTCCGGGCTTTCATTCATGCTATTTTCTCAAACTACTATTCTTAATTTTTTAAAAATTTTAAAAGATTTATTTATTTATTTGAAAGGCAGAGTTGGGGGTGAGGAGAGAGAGAAAGGTGTCTTCCATCCACTGGTTCACTCCCCAGATGGCCACAATGGCTGGAGCTGCGCCGATTCAAAGCCGGGAACCAGGAGCTTCTTCCAGGTCTCCCACGAAGGTTCAGGGGCTCAAGGACTTGAGCCATCTTCTGCTGCTTTCCCAGGCCATACAGAGAGCTGGATCGGAAGTGGAGCAGCCGGGACTCGAACCAGCGTCCATATGGGATGCCAGCGCAACAGGCTGTGGCTTTACCCACTAGGCCATAGTGCTGGCCCCAGAACTCTTTAATAATATTTGAATTCTCAGTGTAAGTGTTACTTACCTGGTACCCTTAGGCTAGGCTGGATACTGCAGCAGCACAGCAGTATCAATGTTTTTGTTTTATTTTGCTACAGGAGGACACATTTCATCTCTAGTTACCAGCCTCTCCAAATAGATTTCTATGCTAAATTACAATATCCATATTTTAATTTTATTTGCACCAAGCTAAAAATTCTCAGTATAGCATTGGCATTCATCAAAGGTTATGAACTGAATGCCTGAACTATGAAAATTTCCATTTAGGTTTAAGAACTACTTAACATAACATGTAAAAGTAATAAATGAATGAATGATGGAACAAATGATCATTACAATGACTTTTGTGTCATTAAAGATAATTATATTCTACTTATTGGAATGAATATGCTACTTTTAAAAGTCAAGAGTAGGGGCCAGCTTTGGGCATAGTCGGTAAAGCTGCCACCTGCAACACCAGCATCCCATATGGGCACCAGTTCGAGTCTAGGTTCTTCCACTTCCAATCCAACTCCTTGCTAATGTGCCTGGGGATGCTGCAGAAGATGGTCTAAGTCCCTGGGCACCTACGACCACATGGAAGACCTGGAAGTAGCTCCTGCCTCCTGGCTACGGCCTGGCCCAGCCCTGGTGGTTGCAGCCATTTGGGGAGTGAACCAGCAGACGGAAGATCTCTGTCTCTCCTTCTCTCTCTCTGTAATTCTGCTTTTCAAATAAATGAAATAAATCTTAAAAAAATTAAAAAGCCAAAAGTGATCTTCCATTTTCCCCGGAGTATATTGCCTATTGCAACAGAAGTTCCCCGAAAGAACAATTAAACAGAATATGTATAAAACACTCCCTACATCTACAGCGATTGTTCAAGCTGAAAAGATTACACAAAGTACTGAAGAACCTAGACATGATGCGGAAGTACAAGGTCTAACTAAATCCTGTGATGATTAGTGATCACCAGGGACACAGAGGCCAGCAAGACTTACAGTAATTTAAGGGTAAAACCATTATGTAACAGTGTTACCAGTAAATTCGGAAATAACAATGTGACATTATTGAAACATTCAGATTATTGCCAGGACTTACTGTAATTAGTTTTCTCTACTTAATATGCATGTGGTTCAGATTATCACACCAAAAAGCGCATTTGTTTGATGAACCAGAAGCCAAAACACCGATTAGCTCAAACGTTTCACACAGTTCCAACCGTCCAATGCCAACAAAACATAATTGAGCACACAAACGTCTATGTGCAGCCCAGATAAATTTTACAGCAAGTTATCTATTTATTTTTTTCTTTTTAAACTTTATTTATTTATTTGAAAGAATTGCAGAGAGAGAGATAGAGAGAGAGAGAAAGAAAGAAAGGAGGTCTTCCATCCGCTGGTTCACTCCCCAGTTGCCCCAAACGGCCAGAGCTGAGCCAATCTGAAGCCAGGAGCCAGGAGCTTCTTCCAGGTTGCCCACATGCGTGCAGGGGCCCAAGCACTTGGGTCATCTTCTACTGCTTTCCCAAGCCATAGCAGAGAGCTAGATCGGAGGTAGAGCAACCAGGACTCAAACTGGGGCCCACATGGGATGCCGGCACTGCAGGTGGCAGCTTTACCCATTATGCCATAGTGCCAGCCCAACCTATTTCTTTATTCCAAGGATAAAATGGTATTTTTCCTACATTTTAAAACTTTTTTTTATAAAGCATGAGACAAAAGGACAGCTATTGTCATGTTTAGCAAAATATATTTCAATATAATTGTGTAATTTTATGAAGGAAAAGCCTGTCTAAATACAAACAGAGTCCACATTCAGATGAAGAAATGATAAAGGGCTGGCACTGAGGCACAGGGGGCTAAGCCACAGCCTGCAACAACAGCATCCCTTGCGGGTACCAGTTAGAGCCCCAGCTGCTCCACTTGGATCCAGTACTCTGTTAATGAGCCTGGGAAAGCAGCAGAGGACAGCCCACTGCCCCTGCACCCACATGGGAGACCCAGAAGAAGCTCCTGGCTCCTGGCTTGAGCCTGGCCAAGCAGCTCTGGTTATTGTGGCCATTTGGGAAGTGAACCAGCAGATGGAAGATCTTTCTCTGTCTCTCCTTCTCTCTTCCTGTAACTCTGAAAAAGATAAAAGCAAAAAAAAATTAAAGATCAATTTTTATATTTTATCATTGATCTTTTAAGCCAGATCTGGCTGAGAAATATGATTGAGGCAAAATGCCTGGCAAAAGCTGTCAAGCCAATCTATTCCTTCACATTTCATGTTTACTTGCTTTAGGATTCAAAACTTTCCCTATAACGTTTATAATTTGTTTACAGCTGGGACTCCACACTCTTAAATTTTCTGTTGACTCTAGAATTCAGTTTTAAGTTCCTGGAAGGCAGGTCTCATGTGTATATATCTTATTAAGCTGCACAGCACTCAGATACACAACGATCTGAAAATAAATGAGTAAATCCCGTATCACATATTGTGGTACACTGGAGTAGGATCAGAATTGGCCTTGGACTTGGGTGGCTGACTGCCAGAAACCCATCCTCTGGTGGCCTGCTGTGTGACACCCTTTCTCCAGTTAGAGGCCCTACTCCTTGGCCACAGCGGTGAGCACACTAACCAAGGTTACCTAAGTAGAGTCCTTCTGGGCCCGGAAACTAACTCTGGGAAAGAGGAGCTCTTCTCTCTGATCTCAGAGCTCCTTGGAGCTGAGTGTTGGCCTTGTCTAGAGCTGCTTTCTCAGCTTCCAGGAGAAGCTGTCTCTATAGGTTAGAGAGAGAGAGAGAGAGAGAGAGAGAGAGAACAGAGGAAGGGGATGAAGGGAGGCCCGTGAACCCTACACCCCTAAAGCCAGCCTCACCCATGCTGTTCCTGCAGTTAGATTGTAAGAGCCAATAAACTCCACTGCCTCACAAGGTCATGTAAGGATGCCCTCACTGGGAGCCAGAATTCTGAGGAGTACAGACCCAGAATTGTATTCTTATAAGGACCCTTGGAATTCATGGGGGCCAAAATCCTCACGTTAGGTATTAGGAAAATGGATTAGTTAAAGAGGTTAAGTACCTTGCACAAAGTCCAGCAGTGACATTGTGAGGAAGAAGAATACCGTGACCTGTTCTGTAGACTGGTTCTGTCCTCATTCTAAAGCCGTTGTCGCTGGAGACTACCAACACGTCCCAGTCTCCCTGCAGCGGGGGCACAGACATGTGGCCTGCATCCCTGGCCAGGACAGGCATGTGCCTGGGGCTTAGATGACATGCGAGCAACGACAGGGTTTGTACCTTCTGGGGAACATGTGGTGGTCCCTGTAAGACAACTGAGCAGATTCTCTGGCACGTAGTCTTCCACCTGCCAGTGCAGCGGTGGCCCCCTACAACCACCGGTCTCCTGTTTGCTTTGACTGAGTAGGGTCCAAATGGGTGGTATGGCTCTCTCAAAATGCTAGAGCCATCTCATAACTGTCAATAAGCACTTTCATTTGTAAATTAGTTAGATTGCTGATTGAGACCAAGGAAGTGGCAGACTGGAGCTGTCTCTCTCTCTGTCTCTCTCTCTCTCTCAAATATAAATAATTTGTTTTAAAAAACAGCTTTGACTTCTATACAATTTGGTGCCTGGAATTGGGGGGGCAGTGTGCACCTAGGGCATATATGTCGTAAACCAGGAAGCCAGTAACTCTTGCTTGCAATGATGTCAGAGTTTGTCCAACAGTGCCCTGCTGAGCCTTGGAAAGCAGACGGTCCTGTGAATGAGGGAGTAAGGAAAACTTAGCCTAGAATAAAGACAATTTAATAGGGCATAGGTAATAATTCTGAGTGAACAGACTAGTCAAACTTCTCAGTATCACTTAGAAATTCAGTAGAACTTAAAAATTGTTTTTAGCTGTATCAGAAACTAAAATATAGAAACTAAAGTAAATTGGGGTTTTATTTTTTTTCACATCTTGAAAATAGTGGCCACTAAAGGGAGACTCATTCCATGTACTTTCTGTATTCAAAGTGGAATCCTAAACCATCAACAGAAAAGTGAAGAGATAGGCAGTATTCCAAAAGAGACAGGAGTGGTCTCTCTTACTCTAAAAGTATTTCACTAGGCTCTCTTTGTATTTTGATCATGTATATTGCTTTACAACTTAAGACATACATTCAGAGTCTTCTCTATCTCTGTCTCCTCTCACCCCCTCCTTCCTCTCTCGCCCCTTCTCCCTCTGCCTTTCTTTTGTTCCCTACAACCCTGTAAGGCCTCTGAGTCGTCACAGTTCATGATGCTTTCCATTTCAGAGACAAAGAAACCAAGGTTTGGGGCTAGTGTGGTAATACAGTGAGTTAAGCTGTCACTTAACAATGCTAGCATTCTATATCAGAGCACTAGTTCAAGTTCCAGTCACTCCACTTCTGGTCCAGCTCCCTGTTAATGCACCTGGGAAGAAGTTGGCCCAAGTGCTTGGTCCCTAGCCACCTATGTGGGAGACCCAGATGGAGTTCCTGGCTTCAGCCTGGTCAACCTTGCTTGTTGTGGCCCTTTGGGCAGTGAACCAGAGGGTGGAAGATCTCTCTCTCTTTCTCTCTCTCTCTCCCCCCTTCCCCCCCCTCTCTCCCCTTCCCTCTCTCCCTCTCTCTCTTCTTCCCTCCCACCCTCTCTCCCCCTTTCCCCTTCTATCCCTGTCTCCCCTTCTCCCCCTTCCCTCTCTCCCTCTCTCCTCCTCTCTCTATCCCTCTCAGATAAATCTTTAAAATAAACACACAGAGGCTTTAAAAAGTTTGATAACTTTCTCAACACTAAATATCAAGCAGTAGACTCACTATTAACCAGGAGGGGAGCAGATGCAGATTTTGTGAAGCCTGAAGCTAATAAAAATTGCAGAAGATTTATTAAGAGAAATCATACAAAATTAAAATACAGGGGCCAGCATCGTGGCTTTAGTGGGTTAAGCAGTGCCTGCTATGCCAGCATCCCATAAGGGTACTGGTGTAAGACCCAGCTGCTCCACTTCTGATCCAGTTCCTTGCTAATGCACCTGGGAAAGTAACAGATGATGGCCAAAGTCCTTGGGTCCCCCCCAGTGTGTGAGACCCAGGTGAAGCTCCTAGCTCCTGGCTTCAGCCAGGGCCAAGTGAACCAGAGGATGGAAGATCTCTGTCTCTCTCTTCTCTCTCTGTAACTGACTTTCAAATAAAATGAATAAATCTTTCAACAAAAATAAAATACAGATATGAAATTGAATGAGAAAAAAACACAACAAATTATACATTTTATAAAGCTAACAAATGTCACTAGCATCGCAGAACGTAGTAAAACAGGATAGCACTTTTATGAGCCAGCCACAGGCTTCTCCAATATCTTTCCTTACCTCTCTGGACTGCACACTCTGATCATTTCATCACATACAAATAATTTTGAAAATGTAATTTTCTGTAGAGCTAGCAAAACCACATTGGTTATTTCTGTATTGCAGTGGATAAAAATGTATTCTTTATTGTTGATAGTTTCAAAAAATATATTCAGCTTCAGAACTCATCTATGTCATGTAAGTTTTTAGGATCTTCAGGAAAATCGTCTTCAGTTTTCTTTCATGCATGAGTTCCAGTGTATCTCAATTTTCCTGATTAATTTAACTTCTTGATGACTGCCCTCGACCAGTTCTTCATGGATGGTTCATTGTAGTGAGGAACTGTAAGTTTTCTGCTACTCTATTGATGTCAGTATTTACTGTCATATCGGCAAGCAACTTAAAGATTTTTAATGTGTCTGTGTGAAACATTATTCTTAATTTATTGGATTCAATTTGAAATCTCTTCTTTTGCTATTTGAAATTTATCTCTCTCCTTAATGAATTGCTGCTCTTGATATGATCTAAAAATTCACTTGTTACAATTTCCTTCCTTTTTTTTTAACGGATAAAGAAGTCTATGTGGCTCAGGATTCTGGTGGCAGGAGGATCCAAACAGCATGCCACCAGCGTCCCAGGGAGGTCCCCTTTTGGTGTCATAACACAGTAGAGAGGGGAGAGAGAGAGAGATAGAGAGAGAGAGAGAGAGGTGATCTGATGAGACGGTAAGTGAAAGGGGGAGCAGAAAAAGCCAGACTGCCTTACAACAGCCAGTTCTCCAGGGAACCAGGCTAGTCACACAAGACCTGACCCACTGCCTCGAGAGGGGATGGAGGTTCTAGGAACCAAAATCACCTCTCACTGGGTCCCACCTAGTAAGTGGGGAGACAGAGCACATGCAAGCCACAGCATCCAGTCTCCCATATTGTGAGTAGCAGTCTCGGTGACAAAACTAATCCCGCCACCACCAATGTAACCACTGACTATTATAAAAATATAATTTCATTTTGCACACGTACTCTGCATATAAATGATGAATGATACAAGTGTATAATGAATGATAATTATGATGACTAGGGGGTAGCACTTGGCAAAGCAGTTAATTAAACCCCCGCTTGAGACATCTGTATCCCACATTGAAGTGCCTGAGTTTGAATCCTGGATCCATTCTTGATTCCAGCTTCCTGCTAATGCACACCCTGGGAGGCAGCTGGTGATGGCTCAAGTACTTGGATCCTTGCAACCCTTGTGGGAGACTTGGATTGCATTCTGGGCTCCTGGCTTCCGCCTGGCCCAGCCATGGCTGTCTCAGGTGTTTGAGTGAACCAGGGGATGGAAGATCTTTCCCTGTCTCTCTTCCTTTCAAATAAAAATGAAAAAATAAAATCATAATTTAAAATACTAGTTATAGGGGCCAGCATTGTGGCATAATGGGTTAAGCTGCTGCTTACAATGCCAGCATCCCCTATGGGCACCAGTTTGTGCCCCGGCTGCTACACTTCTGATCCAGCTCCCTGCTGATGCCCGTGGGAAAGCTGATGTCCAAGTCCTTGGGCCCTGTCACCATGTGGGAGATCTGGAAGAAGCTCCTGATTCTTGGCTTCGGCCTGGCCCAGCCCCGGGTGTTGTGGCCATCTGGGAAGTGATCCAGTGGATGGCAGATATCTCTGTCTTTCCCTCTACCTCTAACTCTGCCTTTCAAATAAATAAAATAAATCTTTATAAAATAATTATTGTTATAATATCTAAATGATATTGTTATAATATCTAAACTTTTCTTTTTATTTCTTAGTTCTATCAATAAAAATATATTTAATACTCACCACCAATCCCTTTTTCAACATTTTTTTATACCAGCATTATCAGTAGAAGTTTTAGCAGTGATGGAAGTGTTCCCTATTTGTGTTGTTCTATACAGGGGCCACCACCCTATGTGAATGCCGAGTTTTTGAAATGTGCCTAGTGTGGGGAGCAACTCGGACTAGACTAAGTTACTGGAATTAAGACTTATTCTATGCATCTGCTCTCCCACAATGTGGCGCTGGGAGAGGAGTAAAAACAGCTTCTACACAGCTGCCTCCAGTTCAACCAATAGACTGTGGGACCTGCTCCTGATTGGAGGAGAGCAGCGTACTCGGCGTGTGGATAGCAGAGTTGGGATTGGTGGAAGAGGACTATAAAGGAGGAGAGAGACAACATGCACCAGGAACATCTAAGGGGAACATCTATCTGAAGGAACACCTGTGCAGCCCCCGAGAGAGCCGGCTGGCGGTGTGCCGCTCCCCTGCCGAAGTGGGGAAAGTGGCTAGAGGGGAACCGCCCTTCCACGGAGGTGGAAGGGTCGGTAGCCAACCCGGGAAGAACCAGCAGCAAACCTGAGGAGGGCCGAGCAGACAAAAGAACAACGCAGGGTCCTGTGTCGTTCCTCCACGAAGAGGGGGAGCGACAGCCTAGTGCAACTGAGGACCTAAACCTTTCGTTTTCATTCATTTAAACTCCAATAGGCACATGTTCCAGTGCTGTGTGGGGCAGTACATTTCAAGACAGTTTGGTCATGTGAAGCATGTTCTCTATTAAGTTTTACAAAGTGGACTTATTAGAACGATAGTTCCTAAGGCTTTGTTTTATTTTTAATCATCCTCTTCTGCAGTATAATTTATTGAGGATCCGCTTGAAAGGATTTTGACAAATATGTACATTGTATCATTATCACCAAGTCAAGATTAGAACATTGTCATCCCCCCAGAAACTTCCTGTTTCCCTCCGTGTTAGTTCTTCCATGCGTCTGCCCCAAATAACCATTGATCTGATCTCTGTCACTAAGGGCTGCTTTTTACTAGGTCTAGAACTTCATATAAATGGAGTAATATGGTATTTACTCCTTATGCATTAGCTTTTCTCAGTATCTTTTCAGTCAATTTTGTTGAGGTATAATGCAAAGGATACTCAAGTATTCACTTTTAAAAGTTATTTGGGTAAAAGACACACACACACACACACACACACACACAGAGAGAGAGAGAGAGAGAGAGAGATCTAATCTGCTTGTTCACTCACCAGATATCAACAGTGGCCCAGTAAGGTCAAAGCTAGACTACTGGAGCTGTATCTGAGGGTCTGCATTAACAGGTAGCTGGAGTCAGGAGCCAGAGGCAGAGAATGAACCGGAGCTCTCTAATTTCCAGGCCAAACACCTGCCCTTAAGCGTACATTTTGAAGAGTTTTGACAAACATTTACACCTGTGTATCAGCTATACTATCAAGATATACACCATTTCCACCATCATCCACCTTTCCTGTCAAATACTCATGCCAACCCCCAAACAAAAGTTGATCTGCTGTGTCACTGCAGATTCCATTTATCTTTTCTTGAGTCAGGCGACCAGAATCATGTGATAAGTACTCTTTGGCATAGGTGTCTTGGGCATAATGTAGTGTTCTGAACGCTGCCATGGATGCCTACGTCGCTGCTTGCTGATCTGTTACTAGATATTTGTATCGTTTCTAGTTCATGGCTATTATGAGTAACTGTTGTGAAATTTTCTGAAAACAATTTATTTCTTGATAGAAGAGCATGTATTGATTGCAAATGGAAACATACGCAAAATAATCTCACTGTGGAGAGCTACAATAATTATAGGTACCTCATTGCCCAGGGCTCTCCCACAGGGATGCACTTCTAATCTTGACAAACTGACAGTAAGAACTGAAGCCTCTGCTTATTTGTTTAATACATTTTATGTGTATAATCATTGGAAGAATCTTCCAGACTGACTGTCTCTGTCTCCATACTTTTCAAACTTCATTTCTCCTCCACTGCCCATATTCTTCTTGTGCTGAGAGCTAAGGATCAAGCCCCAGGCACCAACTCCAGTACCACGACACCGAGTGAGTTTGTGTGACTGGGAAAAGGAGCTTCCCTGGGATTGAGAATCGTGGGAAGACACACAGAATAGGCATGGGCACACCAACAAACAGAGACACTTAACAGGAGAGGTAGGCAAGGCAGGATGAGGCAGTGGTCTTGAGAAATAACAGATAAAATATCCCAGTTCTAGAAAACTTTCCCAGCCATTCTTGACTTTTGGGAGCACAGTGGAAGGATCTCGAAAGGTGCCCAAAGAGGTCCCCTGGAGATTAAGTTTCCTGGGGAATGCATCTCTGTTCTTCCCATAATGTGGTTCTTGTTTTCATTTGAAAATCTAAGGCTTGCATAGCTAAAATTCTAGTTCCTCTTCCATATTTAATCAGTGGTAGAGGAGGAGGGAAGAGGTGGAGACAGAAGCTCTCTCCTAATTCCAGGACACCAGGATTTCCAGGAGATTTTACTTCTCTCCTTGAGAGCCGCAGGA